TTAACTAATTTTTCTTTTTTCTATAATGCATTTTTCTTTTTCTTTTTCTTTTTTTTAATTCTATAATGCATTTTTTTTTGGCACACTATATGTATATACAAAAATAAAATCAAAAGAGAACTACCTAGTATCCATAAGGATGCAAAATTTCTCAAGAAGTCCATAGAATCACAAAAATCCCTTATCCACAAAAAGTATTGCCTTTTAAGGAAGAGAAAATTTCATTTTTATCCCTATGCTTAGTCTCGATGATCAATTACATCCCCAGATTTCAAATAATTTCAATTTTATCCCTAAAGTTTTTGAAATCGTATCAATTTACTCCCTACTGTCATTTTTAAACGGGAAATTTTTTTTAAAAAATTACATTTTGACCCCAAATTTCAAAACATAGATGCAAACTCACCATCTCCTATCCAAACTCACCCTTCTGTCTCCTCCGCTATCAACTTCCACAAACTTCTTTGCAACTCCTCCCTTTCGCTTTTCACTCCCCTCTATTTCTAAGCCCTAAAGCCTTTCTCCTTTTTGCATTCTACAACTTCGCTGGCCATGGCCAATGGCAACATCTAGCCCTCCTCCTCCCTCCGCCAGTGCCCTAATTTTGCACACATATCAATCAATAAGTTGGGGACAAATATATCAAATTCCATTCCTATTCTTATACTAAAATAAATGAAGTTCTTTCTCGGCAAGGAAACAATTTAATTCAACTAACACTAGTATCATACTAGAAAGTGTGACCAGGTTTGGTTTTATGCCTGCATCAATCATTAACCTAAATATATCCAATGCTTCTCAATCGTTGTGTCTATAAGCAAAACTAGTAATGGTTGCATTCCAAGAACATTTGGCATAAATCCAGACCCTAATTTTATCTCTTGAAACAATTCAAGTGCTTTGACATGACACCCATTAGCAGAAACCACCCCAATAATGATGTTCCACAACACAACGTGTGGGGCCCAAAAAATTTTGGAACATCAAGAGAAATTAAATAAACTAAGTAACTTACTAAATTAAAAACTTAACATTTTAATTGGAAATTTTAACTCTCATATAACCAAAAGTTCAAACAATACCTAATAAAAGCTTAAAATGTCCAAATACAACATTAAACAAAATTATAAAATCCTTAATAGCTAATACATAATATAATAAAATTTATTCCGCTCTAGTCATGGCTTCAAGTCAACCAAGGCTCTACGTTAGTGTCAACTCCGTTTTCAACTTCAATTCCTTCATTGTCAAAATCTGGCATAAAACGTCAGGGCAACAAAACACATTCCATGAGTTTCATAACACAGTAAGAAAAGACAACAAACCTACCTCTATTTTTAAGTGAAAATAATGAGATTATAAACAGGATATAACAATATAATTGCAAATATAAAGGGTAAATTACACTTTGCACCTTTGCACTTTACACAAAATCTCACTTTAGTCCCTACACATCAAAAAGTGTCACAATCTTGATGTATAGGGACTAAAGTGGGATTTTATGTAAAGTGTAGGGGTGCAAAGTGTAATTTATCCTCATATGTTTTTCATGTGACTAACCTCTATTAACAATGAGACTAACAAAAGGGCCAAAGTGACACTTGACTAAAAGTGCAAGGGGTTAAGTGTCACAATTTGATATGTAGGGGCCAAAGTGGGATTTGATGTAAAGTGTAGGGGTGCAAAGTGTAATTTATTCAAATATAAATTACAACCATTACAATAATTCCAACAATTTTAATAATTTAGGTGACACTCTAAGTATTTCCAAAGAGATTTAACTTACCAACTAAGCCATGGCCACAGTTAACTATTCAAGTGTTACTAACTATAACTACTAGGGACGCCCATGTTCAGAGTTACATACCCAAGCAATGGCATCCATGGTCTGTCCCAAGGGAACGGTTTGCCAGGGGTACGTGACCTCCATATGTGCTACCTTCACATTCACCCTTATTCCAAAATCGAATATCGAAAATGGTTCAAATAAATCTCGTGCCATCGTAGGGTTTCGAGACACAAATTTACGTAAGAATTCTCAAAAAATCAAGGCTCACCTTGAACAACCGGTATTAACTGTCAACCGTTAATTTTGTACACTCTGTTGATTATTTTGGTTAATTTTCACAATAATCACAAATAATTACAAAATTAAATCACCATTGATGTTATACAATTTTATTACAATTTTCAAGATAAAAGTATAATTAATAACATTTGTTTATAGCATTTTTTTTATAAATGTTATAAAATAAAAGGTATACATAGCATTTTTTAATAAAATGTTGTAAAAGACTTTTGAATAATAGCATTTAATTTTTTATAGCAATTTTTTATGTTTTAATAGCAATTGAAAAACAATATTAAAGGTTGCCTAACACGGAACTTTACTCTATAGGTTATAGCAAAGAAAAAATGCTATAGAAACCCTGAAAAAATTGGAGCTCTAAATTTGCTGCGATTTTTCCATTCAGTTTCCATCTCTTGTACGACCCCCTCTCTTGCGTTGTATTTCTTCTAAGTAAAATCACAAATTGAGCATACAAAAAACCCTACAAAACGCTTGGAATTCATTTTAGGTTTTTGTGTTTGATTTGGCAAGTTTGTGTCTCCGATTAGATGAGTTGGTGGATTTACTGGATCTGAGCTGTAGAGAGTTGATTTGTTCTTCGTCGTTGAAGTTTATTAGGTAATTTTATGTTTTGTGTACTTATTTCTCTTTGGGTTAAATATTTTGTTTTTTGGAAAATTGAACCCAAAAAAAAAAAAAAAAAAAAAAAAGCACTCAGTGCTTTGTTATTATGAGATATGTTTGCTTGCTAAGAAATTGTGGGAGAGTAAATGAGAAATGTGAATTTTTTTTTTTTTTGGATGATTTGGTTTTTTTTTTTTTGGGTAAGTAAGTCATAAAATAAAGACAGTAAAATGTACAAGTTTACAAGGGGCATACCCCAGGTACGCCCTACAACAAATAAAGACGATCAAAAAACAACATAAACTACCACTGGACATCCTACAACATAAAACCACCCTCGCAAAAGCGAGAAAACAACATAAAAAACAAGAACCCCACTTTGCCCATATATCCTTGTTGTCCCAAAGTAACCCCTACCACCAAAGATAATAAATGGAAACGTGGGGTGGATATATGGGCAAATAAACAAGACACACATAGAGTCAAAACATAACAGACAAACACACAATACAAATGAAACTAACTAAACACCCAACAAGACCAACCGAAAAATAATAACTGCCCCCACTTGCTCCTAGTCCCTACCTCGGATGAAAGCATGGAATCCAATAAGCATCTCGCTTCTCATAGCCATGACATCTAAGCCACTCAACCAAAGCCATGACGAAGGAAAAGATCTATCCCATGAAAGTTCCTGGCTAAGTCACATGAAGCTTGCATAGTCAATCACCATAATCAACGGTCTTGAGAAGTTTCGTGAAAAAATAATAGTCTCGCTACAACAAACCAATACATAGCCAACAAACACATGAGAGCAATCATCACATCCCCCAGTCCCTTCCTTGGTAGATCACAAGCCTCAAACCCCACGGCAGTGTCCCCTTCACTCCATGTCAAGCGTGGCAATACAATCAATTAGGATGGGTCACATGAAGACAAGAAGCGACCAGAAAACCGGTAGCTATCCTCCCGCTCATCTCCCAGTTTCGAACTCGGCTAGTTATCGAACCACTATTCCCCATAGCAGTGACTCCCCAATCACTCTTGGCGGAGATGGCTCAAAACCACCCTCATATCGAGTCACATGAGGATCGCACGATCAATCATCATGAAATAACTGACTACAAAAGATTCGTAGCATTGTGACTAATCAAAATATATAGGCTCACCAATAAAATTGAGACCCAACACAAATTGAGCCCAAGAATAGGCCCAAAATCAACAAGACCACATGCACTATGAAAAGTGGCCACGGATTGCCCACAAAATGCCCACTGAAAAGAAATAATTAAAGTAGGTAGCAAAAATAAGTGGGCCCAAAAAAAGAACCCACTGATTTGAAATCCAAAGACCCACTAAATCAACAATAAAAATAAAATCACGGGCCCTCCAAACAAACCCACAAAGAAAGTCCAACGTCGGCCCACCCACTTCATCAAAAAACAATTAAACTATCCATCTTGGGCCCACACACACCAACTCAAAACCATGGCTATATATAATAACCACCTCCGCACACCAAATATATATAATAACATATATATTGAAATCAATAAACAAACAATCACGTGGGCACTGACCCTTTCCCAAATTGAAGTTACCTCCAACCTGTACACGGCCTCCCACGTGAGGTATGAACCATACTTGCCAACCCACTATTTGTCTTCCCCATAAAGAGCAACCCACTGATTGTAGCTAGCAAGGTCTAGACAAAACCGTGCAACACGCTTCACACACATCACAATAAAATAAAAAAAAAACACGTGCATGGGGTGTGAACCACACGCTCCACTTCCGCTTAACCATCACCGGTGTAGCTGACCATGCACTGTCAAGCCACCCAAACCCAATAACCTGTATTGCCATTTGCTCCGACCACCCCGGCAGAAAACGCCAAAAATGGGAACAGAACCTAGCAACACATGACACCACTAAAACAGATCACCAAAATGGCCATAATGACACCGTCGGTAATAGATCAACGCCAGAAACCATGGTTACAGTTTCAACACCACCCTTAGCCCCATAACTTTATTACCGGCGTCGGCAGAAAAATACACCGAGAGGCAGAACACAGCAACGCTACTGCTCTGAAAACCGGCCTAACCGTCGTCAGAGAAAAGAACCCAGTGACGGACCTCATCAGAACATCGTCATCTACAGTATTTTACGCTCACGGTAGCTACTCTAGCAGTCACAAAACTCAGAAGTACCGGGCATAAAGCCATTCCGACGTGAATAGTGTAGTTCACATAGAACGACAGTGAGCTTGGACCTAAAGAGAGAGAGAACCGGCGAAGCTAACCACACAGAGCAACATGGTGGGAGGAGGAGTCCACCGCCATGAACAGCAAGACCACCTGCAATACCACCAAACCCAGACTACTGAGAACATACTTGACCAGCCACTTACCGGAAAGATGTCCAACATGTGCCACAACAAGAAAGAATCCCAGAGTAACATCAACAACCCATGATTTGAACACCATCCGCAGGCCGGAGCATTATCAGAAGACTGCAACGACCTAAAAAAAACTTCAAACCCTCCTAAATCTGGACATAAATAAGACCAGATTCAGCAATAACACAAAACATAACCCAAACCAGACCAAGAATCTAATAAGGAACCTCAAAACTCCATAGGTAACAACAGAGGGAGCTTTCTCTCTCTAGATTCTAGAGAGAGAAGCTCTCAACCTAATCCCCTCAGTTTTTTTTTAAAGTTAAATTTGGCCTTGATGATTTGGTTTTAATTTAGTGAGAGGTACATTAACCATTTTTGTGATTTTAGTATGAAGTTGAAATGAGTTTTTTATCTTCTTGAAGGGTTTTCTTCAATTTTCATTCTGGTTTTGTATTGTACATTGTTTTTGAATAGTAGTGTATTATTTGGATTATTGAAATTATCTACATAGGTGGTAAAGTTATATAGGGTCATAGTTTCTCTGATATCTTGCACTGGTATATATTATTTATGCCTCTTAGGTGCTTGATAAAATGCCACAAAGAGTGGCTGACTCTTACTGTCCACCCCAAATCTGGGTATGACCGGCCGTGGCCCACAGGGACTCAGCCCAAGGCACACGTAAACCTAACCACTAATCCATAATCACATTGAGCAATTATACAAAAGTCCAGTAATAAATAACCAAACTCAATCCAATGACATGTCACAAGTATAAACGACAAAACCAACAGTAATCAATACCATCCAAACTTATGGGATCTAAATAGCCCACATATCAAAATAATCCTAAACGAACCTCAATAAAAATAAAAAGAAATAAATAAATATGCACAAACTTGACATAACACTCTAAAACAAAATAAATGTATGTCCTAGAGGTCCATGCAATCGAGTCTCAGCTACGCCATGAGTCCACCCTAAATCCTTCTAACACCTGGAAGTAATAAAAACTAAGTCAGCTGATAGCTCAGTGAGTAGCAACATGGATAGTAAATACAGTTTTGAAAACATGGCTCAATTCCAAAATAAGATATACATCACAGAAACTAGATTGACATACAGTTTGGTAAATACAATATGTTTCAAAAAGAAGGTTCCACAGTTCAACACTTAAAATACTCATGTCTCGCAAGAACATGATAAATGACATTTTCCACTTAAAACAGATTATAACATGAACACCAATAATTTTCTGGGTACCAATAAAAACAAATAATATGCCACACAGTTCTTAAGGCTATAAGCCCCGTTGGATCCAATACCAAACTAGGAGTCATCCTCAGGGTGGCACCTGGGCCTTTTCTCAAAGACGGTCCGATTGAAGGTCACCTAGCTTTTTTTTAAGGTCTTTTCCTTACAATCGTTGAGCACTAGATTCATCACGGCCCAACCCGAATCTGTTCCCTAGTGGTCAGAGTCACCACACACAGTGGAATAATTTCCCTAGACTAAATACACATATGGTCCCAATAATCAATACACATCAGTTTCGTAAAACATGGTAGTTCATCATTATAAACATGAGACCAAAATAAATATTTACAGTATGCCAAGTTCACACATGTTTCAAAAATAATTTGATTCCATTGATAATATAATAATTTATCAAAACAGTTTAGTCATGAAACAACAATTTAATTTTCCAACAGTTTAGGGTAGGGGAACATTTATAAAAATATGTAGCATGAAACTACTCACCTGAAAACGAAATAATATAATCCTCGAATCGAGTATAAAAGTCCAACTAGTGCCCTAAACCAAGTATAAAAACTACACATCACTATTAATTTAAAAATACTAAAGAATAGGAACTAAGTAACCTCAAATTTAAAACGCACTAACACGGCTCAACCCAACTCACCGTTACTCTTAAATATTACCTAAATTCATGTTCTTCAAGGTCTAAAATCACCCAAGACATGAGTTTTGATCGAAACTTAACTAAAAATAACTTTAAGATAAAACAGAGTTTTAAACAAGTTTTCCCAATCTATTCACTAACTTTGAAAGTTACAAAACCCACTCCACGCTATTCGAAAAATTCCAAAAACCTCAAGATATCAACTAATATATCCTAAGTTTCAAACCCAATTGGTTTCACTTGATTTGCTTATCAAAATAATTATCTACAATTTATTATATCCAAACAGGTTGTTTTTTGCAGCACTTTAAAGAAATTTCCGGTTCTCTTAATATACACGAGAAATCAATGCAAGGCCAAAAATCTAAGAAACTAGACTCATAACCGGTTCTAATGACACTGATTTGATAATTTTTGAATTTATACCCAAAGAGAACAACACTCTCGAATTTACTGTTTAAAACCAGTTTTCTGGACAGATTTGAACGCATCAGTTTATATGGATTTTGACTCCCAAAAATTATGAAAAAATTCAGATACGCAATTCAATATATAATTAATCTACTATAACAATTTCAGTTCAAAATTCATTCGTTTGATATGGTTTCTTGATTTTTAAAGTTTGTGACTTTGTACAGAATTTTTGGACTACAATTTACACCCTCTACATTGCACTATCACAATCCAACCCCATACCACCCAAACACACCTTCAGCCCTTCACGTTACCAAAGCCATACATGCTAGCCTCCAAATAACCTCTGCACACAAGCCATACACTATACCCAAAACAGTGCCAAACGGCACATCACAATGTGGCACATCACAATGAAGAAAGAAGGGGGGGAAAATGTAAAAGAAGAGACAAAACAATTAAAACATTAGTCTACCTTGAAGAATTTGCTTTAGATTCAGATGATTCCTAGAGACAACCCAACGTAGCTTCTCTTCTCCTCTCTCCTTTCTTTCTCTCACGGTTGCTATAAAAGTTATAATAAGGGTTAGGGCTTTTGTTAGGAAAACTAGGGTTTATATATATATATATATATATATCTAAACAAAAGGTTTTAAATTATTATCTCTTTATATTATTTTAAATTTCCATCTCCATTAAAATACAAATATTATTAGATCAAAATATGCTTTCTAATTTGGCACTTAATTTTTATTTATTTATGTATTTATTTTAAATAATAAATCTTGCCTTTATTTTAGGTTTTAAAATTAATTAAAAGACCTTCCAAATATTTAATTTGCACTTTAGGATTCACCACCAAAATATTTAAGATTGTAATATTTATTTGATTTGTATATTCGGGTTCTCACGCTTACTATGCTTGTATATTGTTTTCTTGTGAGTTTTTTTAATATCTGTATTTGTATCTATAACTACATCTCTGTCTATATATATATATATATATATAAAACCACTATATATGAAATTTATCATGTTATTATATATAAGAAATCACCAAGGAGATAAAAAGTTTGGTGAAACAAAAATGTTATATATGGTAACAATGACACAAAAAATGTCATGACCCAAACTTGCCCCCAAAAGTTTGGACATGACCGGCCTGTACTTAGGCCTCAAAACCAAATTTCCTTAAGTTTTACTCAACATTGGGGCCTGAACGGACGCAAATATAATATCAAAATAAATATCCATTGACCTGTGTCTAAATGCCAGGATCTTAACACAACATATCATATATATGTATATATAAGATTTTCATATACCGTTTATATTCCACTAAGTTCACACATGTGAGTCTATACAAAGGGTAGCAACCTGAAAGTTAAATACAAGACAAGTCATTCAAAAGATTTGACAAAATATGCCACCACACCGAACTCCTCAAAATAAAACAAAAGGTCCGCTTTGGGTGACTCGACAAAACTAGTCCAGCAAAAGGCTCCTGGAGCCGACCTAGGGTTGTCCTCCGGGTTAATCACCTACATAGCATACATAAATATAGAGTGAGCAAGGCTCGGTGAATAATAGTAATGTAAGGAGATTCATGTGAACAAGCATAAGATACGTAGCATATAATTTCATAGGTTATTTGCTTGTTTCAGTCATGAATTCATAGCAAAATGGTCTCGGGCCCAACGTTATATAGAATGGCCTTAGGCCCAACATAATATAGAATGGCCTTAGGCCCAATATAATACATAATAGCCTTACGCCTAACATATCAACAACTGTTTATAACGAATAGGGTAGATGGAACGTCGGCATGTCTCCATCTCCCTCGGTCGTAAGGCCATGAGTCATAAGTAGTCCATATCAGAATGGCCTTGGGCCCATTATTTACAGCGGAAACAAACGACCTCGGGTCCATATCTCATATGTCATTGTTCACTCATTCCAATTATTCTATCAAACAAAACTCATATAACATATGCCATTCATGATCAAAGTAAATAAATACGTGAATAAAACATATCGTAACTGAGAGGGTAATTTTTGGTGAAAAATTGGGCCGAGCTATGAGATGAACTTTGTGGTCCAAAGTACGAAGGACTGGGTGAAAAGGGACGAGAAGTTACTCCGGCCCAAGAAAGATAAAGTTACTCCGACCTAAGAAGAGATAAAGTTACTTCGGTTATAGGATTGTAAATGTACTTCGGTCCGGGAGCAACTTGAAGTTAGACCGGTCTTGAAGTTATATCGGCTTTAGAGGTATATCGGTCTTGGAGTTGTACCGGTCGAGAGTCATTGGTTCGGTCCAAACACACCATGGGTTGAACAGGTGAGAACCGAGATAAGGAAGAATAAAGGGAAAGGCCGAACTAAGGATAGTTCGGCTTACTCTGTGGCTCAGCATAGCCAGGTTTATCTCGGTCGAATGGTAGTTCTTCTTTCTTCCATACTTCGGCCTGGGATTGGGGCTTGCTGATCTTCGAAATTGCCCGATACCCAGAAATGTCATCATCATTTACATCCTTATCCGGCGTATCTTTTATTATCTTTTCTCTACGGCGGCGTATCCTAAGGTAATAAATAAAAGTCCTACTAGGATTGTGCCATATGAAACTTATAAAAGCTCACAAGCATCACCTTGGAGGAGGTAACATAACACAACATACAATTTTTCTTCCTGAACACATTGAGCTTTGTCTATTTGTCAAGTTTTTCTGACTTAGGCATCGGAGAGG